ATGGGGTGCTCATCTTGTGATGACATGGGGCGGCCATTTGTGTGTGAGGGTATGATGGTTAAATTGCATTTTACCTTTTTATTACCGTATTTTTCGGACCATAAGACGCTCCGGACCATAAGACACACCAGTTTTTAGAGAAGGGAAATGAAGAAAAAAATATTCTGAAACAAATAGTGTCCTAAAATATTTTATGTGCATTAAAACCCAACATCACAGTCATAAACACATGTAATCAACCCTGTAAAGTAAACAGCAGCAGTTAGAACCATTTTAGAGCCGGGCAAGCACACAGAGACCACACAGAGCCGGGCAAGTAAAAACACTTTTTTAAAAAAAGTATATGTGTAGGCTATATTTGGACCATAAGACGCAGGGACTTTTTCCCCCCACTTCTGGGGGGAAAAAAGTGCGTCTTATGGTCCGAAAAATACGGTATATAAGATATGATAAGATGTCCCAGGTTCATGTTATTTATTTTCAGCTCCATAAATTGTCCATTTTGCTAAAAAAGCAGATTTATTTTAGTGAAAGTGACTTTAAAGACCATGATCTGAACATCTTTATTGTTACTGGGTTATAATTATTTCCAAGCCTCAGCTAACAGACTGGGAAATATGAACTTAAAAAAAAAAAAATTCTGAGTTCATAATGCTATTCCCTACTGATATTAAAGGTTGAGCTTTTTTTTTTTTTTTAAACTTGTTTTATTTTATGTGTGTATCTCTTTTTTCTGACTTTGAAAATCTTAGTTCCCAATGACATAAATATAATTACTTATTTGATTTGTCTAATAGATACTTATATGTGTGTATTCATATATATAAACTAGGAACAGTACCCACTTAATGCAGTTTAAGATTTCTTTATGGGTATTTTTTGTCCTTAGGATATAAAATCAAATTATTTTTACTTAAAATAATTCTTCTCTATGTCATTATACCATAAACTTGATATAGTTTGGTTCATTTATTTCAATTTATTTTTAATTCCTAAAGATTGATTTTCTTTTTCTTTTTTTCTTTTTTTCTTTTTTGAATCATCTAACTCTCTCTTCTCAATATTGAGCCATTCTCTGTTTCACCAGCTCCTCATGTGTGAATCTGTGAATGTGTGCTAACACTGGAGCTTATTGCCTATCCATGAGCTCAGGATCATGATACGTAAGGTCTCTACCCTGGATATCCATGGACTGGAGGAGAACCTGGCATGCAAAGTCCCATGCCAATGAGTTCAGTCTATCCAAGGGGGCCTTTGCAATGTACTCAGAAACTTATCCCCTAAGGAATTTATGTCTAGACTAGAGGCCCGATGCACAAAATTTGTGCACAAGGGGAGAGGTGTCCCTCAGCCCAGCCTGCACCCTCTCCAATTTGGAACTCCTCAGGAGATGTCCGACTGCCCATTAGGCCCTGATTGATGCCTAACTGCTCCTCTGGCCAGCGTCTTTGCCCCTAATTACCCTCCCCATGCAGGCCTGGTCACCCCCAACTTCTCTCCTCTGCTGGCCTGGTCACCCCTAACTGCCCTTCCCTGCAGGCTTGATCACTCCCAACAGCCCTCCCTTGCAGGCCTAGTCCCTTGCAACAGCCTTCCCCTGCTGGCCTGATCGCCCACAACTGCCCTCCCTTGCAGACCTGGTCTCTCCCAACTGCCCTCCCCTGCTAGCCATCTTGTGGCAACCATCTTGTGTCCACAAGGAGGCAGTCATCTTTGACCACATGGGGGTAGCCATCTTGTGTGTTGGAGTGATGGTCAATTTGCATATTATTCTTTTATTAGATAGGATAGAGGCCTGGTGCATGGGTGGGGGCCAGCTGGTTTGCCCTGAAGAGTGTCCTAGATCAGGGTGTGGGTTCTCTTGGGGCATGGGATGGCCTGGGCTAGCGACCTATGGTGGTTTGCAGGCCGGCCACGCCCCCCAGTGATCCAAGCTGAGGCCCTGGTATCTGGGTTTTACTTATCTTCTATAATTGAAACTTTGTAGCCATAAGCAGAGGCCAAGACAGGCCAGGGCTGCGGAAACTTGGCTTCCTCCATCACCGGGGGCAATTCAAGCCTCCTGTTCTCTCCAGCTCCATGGCTGCTGCCATTTTTGATGGGATTTATTTATCATCTATAATTGAAACTTTGTAGCCTTGAATGGAGGCCAAGGCAGGCCAGGGCAGGCAGAAAGCTTGGTTTCCTTTTTGTCTGGGAAACCCCACGCCTCCTATTCTCTCTGTGGTTGCAGCCATCTTGTTTGGGTTAACTTGCATACTCGCTCCTGATTGGCTGGTGGGTATGGCTTATGGGTGTAGCAGAGGTATGATCAATTTGCATATTACTCTTTTATTATATAGGATGGACAACCCCATCGTTTTTTATAGAATCTCCCAAAGATGATTTAGGCTTAAAATTGTCAGCTCTCTAGGATCCAGTGTTGATCAGGGTTTCTCAACCTTAGAATTATTGACATTCGGGGCCTGAGAATTCTTTGTTCTTTGGACCATCCTTTTAATAGAAGGGTGTTCAGCAGTATCCCTGGCCTCTACCTACTAGATGTCAATTTGTGTTTTGTTTTTTTTGTTTTGTTAATCCTCACCTGAGCATATTTTTTCCAATGATTTATTTATTATTATTATTATTATTATTATTATTATTATTATTACTTGTTTTTTTCAGAGAAAAAGAAAGGCAAGGGGCAGGAGAGAGAAACGTCGATATGAGAGAAACACAGATTGGTTGCCTCCCTCCACACCCTGACATAGGCCAGGGAATGACCTTGCAACATAGGGATGTGCCCTTGATGGGAAATCAAACCTCAGACCCTTCAGTGCACAGGCCAACACTCTAACCACTTAACACAATGGCCAAGACTCATCTCAGTTTTGACAACCACAATATCTCCAGACATTGCCAGATGTTCTCTGGGGATAAAAAATCACTCCAGTTGAGAAATACTAGTTTAGATAGACTATTGTGTGCCAGACTGCAGGGAACCCATAGTTGTGAATCAAACAGGAAAACACCCACCAGACCATTTGATGTCTTCTCAGGAGAAGTCAGTCCAGAGTGTCTGCCCACTAAAGGGTGTGTGCCAGGAGGACACTGGTTTTGCTTTGTAAATTCCTGGATTCAAGCCCAGCCTTTACAGATTTGGGGCAAGTTTCCTCACTTCTCTGCTCTTAAGTTTCTTTATTTAAAAACAAGGGATTGATGTTGTTTACCTGACATGACACTGTTGCAGTGAGGACAAAATGAAGTTCTACACACACACACACACACACACAATCTAATTTAAGGATACATAAACCTGGACTTGATAATGGTTCAAATATAAGTGTATTTATTTGCCAGTGTGATTAAAAGGTAAGTCCAGCCAGTGCTGCTCAGTGGTTGAGCGTCGACCCATGAACCAGGAGGTCATGATTTGATTCCTGGTCAGGGCACACACCCGGGTTGAAGGCTCAATGCCCAATAGGGGGCATGCAGGAGGCAGCCAATCAATGATTCTTTTTTTTAAATTGCTGTTTCTATCTCTCTTTCCCCGCCCTTCCTCTCTCTGAAATCAATAAAAAATAAAAAAATAAAAACATTTTAAAAATTTAAAAAAGGAAATATAGGGAAAATATACCTTCAAATCCATCATGATGCATATAGTACATCAAGTAATAAAGCTTACAATATTACTCTTATACTATAAGGCACAATAGGAGATGTCTAACTTTAAATAGAAGAAAAAGAACAAAAGGTCTTTTCAACAATACCAATTACATTAGGATGCAAATAGTAATTTTTTATATAATTACTTATTAATTTTGCATTCAGTAATCTGACTAGACTGCACAAGAATTTAAATGTCTTGACAGGAGATAGTGGCTGTTAGTTCTCTTGGGATTTCATTATAATGAAACTGGTAAATAATTCAGGGCCATAGGAGAGGCCAATGAGTAGGCAGCACCTGGTGCTATATTGTTCATGCTTAAGCACGCAGAATCCAAAGACGGCATTCTACACCTGTCACTATTGTTCAGGCTTAAACAAAAATTCTATGTTCTGTGGCAAGTGAAATAATAATTGATATTTTTCATCTTCCAATTTTTCTACACAATAAAAGAAAGTTGTGCTAAGCTGTTTTAAAAACAGAAGTGATATCCTCTTATAAATTTCCCCAGACTGGTAAAATTTCAAATCTGTTTTCTCTATTATGTGATAGATTGCTTTAAAGGGACCTACCTACCTTTTCTGCTGGGGCTAAACTGAGTCTTTCTGTATTTCTGCTTTTATTCTGCAAGGTGGAGCTTCTCTTTATCACAGTATTCACATTGTGAGCATCTTCTTAGGGAAGTAACACCATCCTTTGTCCAGTTGCTCACTCTGAGGACATTCCTAACATCCTCAGTTTCTCCCCCTATTATCTAAGTAGCCTATCGCACTTCTTCTAGTAGTCTAACAGTTTAAAAACAAGCAGAAAACTATTGGCAAAGGGCTCATCTATCCTCCTGCCCCCAGCTGAGTAGACATAGAAAGTCCCTCCATTTCCCCAGAGAACAGTAGCCTGAGTGACAGGCAGACATTGCATGCAGACAGCGGGGGGCACCAGAGCCTCCCATCCCCCAGGATCAGACAGAACTTAAGCCATGAGTTGCGTGGAAAGATCTTGGAAGGGCAGAGGATTTCTCAGTAGGGAAAAAAGGAAGATGTGCTTCACATCTTTGAACTAAAGATTTACAGTGTTGGGCCATAAAAAGCATCTGAAGAAAGACTGTAGGGTTTTATATCTCTAAAGCTTTATATCTAATTGTCAGATGTGCTTTGTCTTTGTTTTTAAATGATTGCTTATTAAAGAGGCTTACAATATTTTATTTAAGTATATTATTTTAAACCTTTGTTATATATAATAAAGTATATAACTCTGTTTAATAAAAATATAACTATCTAGTTAAAATACATAAAACATTTTAAACCTCTAATAGACCATTTACATATACATAAATGTGTAATTTATTTGTTAACAGGTTTGATTGCTTCCCGTCGGGACCTGTGTGAGAGTACTTGGAGCAGTGACTGCCATCTGGTGGCAAGCCAGAATCATCACTTTGTGGTTACTAAGATGCCCACTCCTGACTCACACTGGCAACAGGGCACCCAGAGAGCCTGGAGGGTGGCTGAGCAAGGAGCTTAGTGGAATAGCCCTTCGCTTCCACCTGAATGAGTTGTCCATCCCAGATTGTGAGCCAGGAGCCAGCCCCAAAATGGCACCTCTGAATACAACATTTGAGATGCTCTTACGTTTTAGACAAAGATCTGCTGGTACCCTACCAGCAGGTAATCAAGACTGAATACACACACACCAAGAGGGGCATGTGATGACATGGAGCCTGAAATAAACTGCTCTGACTTGTGTGACAGTTTGCCTGGCCAGGAGCTGGATCAGAGACCTATTCATGATCTCTGCAAGACAACAATTGTAAGTAAGCAGCCTTAAGGTGTCAGGGCTGCTCAGAAATACATGTGTTACGGGGAGGGGGTGGAGGATGAGGGGGAAATGTTAATGAAGGACCTGTATTTCCAGGCATTAGTTTATGGGGTAGTTCACGTTTGATCTACAGGAGAGCCTCGTTCCTGACAGCTTCTCTTTATTCTGTTCTCAGACCTCTTCCCCACACAGTAAGACCATTTCTTCATTGTCTCCTGCCCTCGTGGGTATTGTTTGGACTTTTCTCAGCTGTGGACTTCTTCTGATAGTGTTCTTTCTTGGCTTCACAATTCGTTGCAGAAAGAACAGGTAAGCAGCCCATGCCTAGTTTCTCATCCACTGCCTGGATCATGAAACCCAGAATGTTAGTATCTTTGTGGTACTATAAACTGCCAGCTGGTATCAGTAGATCTTGTCTCCTTCTGTGGCATTAAGCTATGTAAGAACTTCCCCCGCCCCAATGGTCTTGGCCTTGTGGTAGAATTCCATCTGGAGGAGAAAAATTTAGCCCAGTATTGTGCTATCTACTCAAAGAACATGGAGATTCTCTCCTCATAAAGAAGGTTGCAACTCTTCTAAGAAGATGAGTGTTTATATTAAAAATGGAGAGCACGTAGAGAAATCTTCTGAAGCAATACTAAGTTTATGGCAGCATAATTGGAGCTAAAGGGAAGGTAACCAGGAAGAAAGGAAAGCAGTTCTGATCTTGTTGGCTATGGGAAAGTTTGTAATCATATTGTGCCATACAAAGATATATGGGATCTTCTATATAATTTTTTTGTTTGATGTTTATTGCTGATTGCCTGTGACAAATTCATATATCTCCTACTGGTTCCATTTCTGTGATTGAATCCTGACTAACACAGTAGGGAAAAAATATGCAGTATCTATACATAGAAAATCATAAAACATTTTTGAGAGAGATTAAATAAGTTCTAAACAAATCAATGATATATTTATACATTAGAAGACTCAATATTTTAAAGATATAATTTCTCTCCAGATTGATGTATGGATTCAATATAATTGCAGTAAAAGTGGTGGGATGCTTTGGTCTGGCCTGCACCCTCTCACAATCCGGAACCAATCAGCCAATGTTGGAGAGCCAGTTTCTGCCCAATTTCCGCAGGCCAGGCCGACCTCTCCAGGGACCTCTTCAGGGCAAGACAGACTGGCAGCCATTGCTGTTTATTCTGCCCTGGTGATTTACTGAGACCCCACCCCACCCAATTTACAACCCCACCCAAGCTTTGCACAGCAGATTTTGCATATGAATGTCCTTTCCTTCTTGCAACCTAAAACATAACATACTGCAGCTGGGTCAAAGGGCTGCAAAATGTCCAAAAGAAAGCCTAAAGCCCTGAAGTGGCAGCCTGCATTGCTTCACAGCTGGGCCTCATCTGGGCCCTTCCAAACCCCAAACATGAAGGAGAAATCTGCAGATATCTCTGTAGCGCCTGTTGAGTGACATCAGGCAGTGGCTGACTTTGCACCTCCTTGGAGATCCAAGAGTAAGTGTATCCATTGATCAATGTGAGACCATACCAGATTACAACTCTTCACATCCATAAGCGACTCACTTAAAGGACAGACTCAGTGAGCACCAAAATCCCACTGAAGCAAGTCCTGTCCCATAAGGGTGTCTTCAGCACAGAAGTTCTCCTATTGTAGATACAGCTAGTCCTCACAGCCAGTTGGCCTGGAGGTCAATTCCTCCCAGTGATAACATCAGCAATCAAGACTTAACTACAACAAGACTGTTCACACAGCACACAAAGGGGTGCACCAAGAGTGTCCACCTCAGGTAACTGGGAAGGCTGAGCCACTGGGCCCTATCGGACACCTAGCACACAAGGCCATTTTATTAACACAGGGAAGCAGCCAAAATGTGGAGACAAAGAAACAGATCACATTTTAAAGATATGGAGGAAAGCAAACTACTGGATATAGAGTTCAAAACCACAGTTATAAGGTTACTCAAGAATCTTCTAGAAACATTTGAGGAACTTAGTGAGAACCTCAAAGATATGAAAAAGGACCAATCATAAATTAAGCATACACTGACTGAAATAAAGAATAATATACAGAGATCAAACAGCAGGCTAGAGGATCCCAAGAATCAAGTCAAAGATTTGAAATACGAAGAAGCAAAAAATACTCAATCCAGAAAAGAAAAAAGAAAAAAGAATTAAAAAATATGCAGATAGTGTAAGGAACTTCTGGGACAAATTCAAGCATACCAACATCTGAGTTATGGGGGTGCCAGAAGAAGAGAGAAAGCAAGATACTGAAAACCTATTTGAAGAAATAATGACAGAAAACTTTCCCTATCTTTGAAAGACTTACAAGTCCAGGAAGCACACAAAACCCCAAACAAAAGGAATCCAAAGAGGACCACACCAAGATACATCATAATTAAAATACCAAGAGCAAAAGACAAAGAGAGAATGTTAAAAGCAGCAAGAGAAATACAGTTAGTTACCTACAAGGAAGTACCCATATGATTGTCAGTTGATTTCTCAACAGAAACTATGCAGGCCAGATGGGAGTGGCAAGAAATATTCAAAGTGATGAATAGCAAGAACCTACCACCAAGATTACTCTACCCAGCAAACCTATAATTTAGAATTGAAGGTCAGATAAAGAGCTTCACAGATAAGAAAAAGCTAAAGGAGTTCATCACCATCAAACCAGTATTATATAAAATGCTGAAGGATATTCTTTAAGAAGAGGAAGAAGAAAAAGGTAAAGATAAAAATTATGAACAACAAAGTGACAACAAATACATATCTATCAACAAGTGAATCTAAAAATCAAGTGAATAAAAATCTGATGAATAGAATAAACTGGTGCATAAAATAGAATCAGGGGCATAGAAAGGGAGTGGACTGACAATTCTTGGGGGGAAGGGATTTATTGGACAAAAATCTTACACCTATGGACGAGGACAGTGCAGATGCGGGGACGGGGTAAGGATATGGGGTGGGATGGGAACTGGGTGGAAAGGAGCTATGGGGGAGGGAAAGAGGAACAACAGTAATAAAACGAACAATAAATATTTATTAAATTTTTTTTAAAAGAAAGTTAAAATAATCTAGAGAATGGGAGAAAATATTTTCAAATCATGTATCTCATAAGGGACTTGAATATTCATAGCAGCATTATTTATAATAGTCCCAAAGCAGAAACAACCTAAATATTCAAATGAAACAAGTCAGTCACAAAAGACCATATGTTGTATGATTCCATTTATATGAAATGTCCAGACTAGACAAAGCTATGGAGATAGAAAGTAGATGAGCAGTTGTCTATGGATGGGAAAAGCAAATTAAAGCTATAAGATGTTAAACAAAAACCTTCAAGGCTAAAAGCTATCCTAAAGAAAGAGTTTGTTGATCCATGTGCTAGTCAGAAAACAAAACAAAACAAAACAAAAAACAACAACAATACACACACACACACACACACACACACACACACACACACAAAAATGTCCTGGGCATGCAGACTAAACCACTAGCAGCAGAGCTAGATGGAAAAGATAAACATGCCCCCCACCCTGGGGTTATTTGGCTCTTTTATCAATGTTTGAAGAAGAAAAATGTAAATTGTTTTGAAAGAATTAATATAACTATAGATAAGGGGGCATGGAGAAGGTTAAGAGGCAGTAGTTCTGGAATGAGTGAATAGTCCATAAGAAAGAATTACTTGATGCTTCTGGATTGGTTGTGGGCAACATTTGGGAAAGTTCATACATAAGGAGTATATAGTAGTGTCTGGTGGTCTTCTATTCTTTCTAGATAATCACTGAGATAGCCTCCTGGAAGTTGATTCAAAGTTTCAACTTGGCTCTAACAGATTTGGCTCAGTGGATACAGCATTGGCCTGGGAACTGGAGGGTCCGGGTTTTGATTCGGTCAAGGGCACATGCCTGGGTTGCAGGGTTGGTCCCCAGTAGGAGGCATGCAGGAGGCAGCCGATCACTAATTCTCTCTAATCATTGATGTTTCTATCTCTCCCTTTCCCTTCCTCTCTGAAATCAATAAAAATATATATTTTTTTATAAAACCCACAAAGTTTCAACATACATTCAGAAATATTAACAGTCTTTTCTTGGTTTCAGGCCTATTAACTGATTAACCCTAACCCTAACCCTAACCCTGTTAACTGATTAACCTCTCTGTCTCTTCCTCTCAGCCTCAGGCCTGCTATAATTTAATTGGGGGCATCTCAGAATTTTTCTCTTGTGAGAAATATAACACCAAATGGCTTAAATTTTTAAATATAATAGTAAAATAAAGATGTTAAAGCAATTTAACTCATCTACTCACAGTGAGAGTGCACACTGGTACAACCACTTTGAAAAATAATTTGACATATCTTCTAAAATAACACATATACCTTGTGAGCCAACAAATCCACTTCTAAGGTATCAGGTATACTCAGGAAAGTGTGTTCACATTTCCACCAAGAGTTGTATAAAGATTATTCACTCTAATCCACAGACAGCAAAATCTCAGACATATGCCGAAAGAATTTCTTCACTGAAGTTCTTGGGCAATGTAAGCTAAAGAGAAAATAAACAAGTGGGACTACATCAAAATTAATAGTTTTTTTACAGCAAAAGAAACCATCAACAAAACAACAAGAAAGCCCACTGCATGGGAGAACATATTTGCAAATGTTATCACTGATAAAGCTTTAATCTCCAACATCCACAGGCAACTTATACAACTTAATAAAAGGAAGATAAGTGATCCAATAAAAAAATGGGCAATGGACCTAAATAGAATCTTTTTGAAAGAAGACAGAAGGAAGGCCAAGAGACAAATGAAAACATGCTCAAAGTCACTAATTATCCAAGAGATGAAAATCAAAACAACAATGCGGTATCATCTCACACCTTTCAAAATGGCTATCATCAACAAATGACAAGTGTTGGCTAGGATGCAGAGAATAGGGAACACTGGATCACAGCTGGAGGGAATGAAGACTGGTGCACCACTTTGGAGAACAGTATGGAGTTTCCTCAAAAAACTGAAAATGGAACTCCCATATGACCCAGTAATCACACACCTAGGAATATATCCTAAGAAACTAGTAACACCAATCAGAAAGGATATATGCTCCCCTATGTCCATAGCAGCACAATTGATGATAATAGCTAAGATTTGGAAACAGCCTAGGTGCCCATCAGCAGATGACTGGATCAGAAAACTATGGTACATCTACACAATGGAATACTATGCTGCCATAAAAAGAAAGAATTTTTTTAAAATATATTTTTATTGATTTTTTACAGAGAGGAA